GGCAGCAATGGGATAGGGGAAGGCATCAGTGTGACCCCAGAACATTAAATTTGTGCTTTAATGACAATGTATCAGCATGTAATGGGTTAATTTCTCAAAGACAGTGACAACAACTTAAATTCATGGTTGCGAATATATTTGATACAGTGCTAAAATTGTTGTGTTATAGGCAATCAAAAATACTTCAAAATTTATACATTCTCCTAATATTGTTTCAACAATTTCTGCCAAATGTTGCTATAGAAAATCTCTCCCAATTAAACCAGCATGAAACAGTAGTAACACTGATGAATGCAATAAACTTACACCGCTCTACTATAAGAGAACAAGGTCCCAAGAATGAATAAACACTATATTCCAAGCCAAAAGGATTTTTTAGCATGCTATTTACAGAACCCCCGAAACTGTGGAAACTTAAACCTTCTTGGAAGACTCAGTACAGAAGTGCAGTCATTTCTGATGGCCATCAGCCTGTCTGTAACTCTGAATATTCCTTTCCCATCTTTTTTCTTGAATTTCTTATCTCATTTCCCTCGTTGTGGATCCCAGTCAATATCCCCGATCTGGACTTGATGGGGCAAGTTCCTAATGCCCTTTGAGTCTAAACTGAGCGAAGCTAATGGTACAGTTCCAAAGGGTGCTCATACGTTTTGCTCAACTGGGATGTGTAATAAAAAAGCACAGGATGCACAGAGAGGTTGTGGAGTCTCCTTCTCTGGAAATATTTAAGATCCGCCTGGACACCCACCTGTGCAACCTGCTGAAGGGAACCTACTTTAGTAAGGGCATTGGACTCAACGATCTCTAGAGGTCCCTTCCAGTCCCTACAGTTCCATGATTCTACAATCAACACACAGGGTTAGCATGCTCTTATGGTTATCTCCTGAGATTACACAAAAGGCATTTTTCATTGAAGCTTCTACAGAGAGAGGCTACAGTAATGCATTGGTAAAAAATGTTACAAAACAAACTTAAACATGAGCCACCTAAAGGAAATTTGATCTAATTTCATTGGAAAATCTTCACAACATTTTCTCATGCGTTTCCCCACATGAGAAAACATCCAGAAACCCTTTATTTTATGTAAATCTGGAACTGTAAGCCAGGTCAATTTTTAATCCCTGCCAAAAATAAGAAGTTGCTTTCCTAAAATACCACCCTGTTTTAACAGCATATTAATTTATCTGTTTAATATTTTACTATGGACTATAATAAATATGCATACAAGCTAATTCTATTCTGAATTTGCTGTTTCATTTTGTTTTCAATTATAACATCAGAAAAATCTGGCACTTATCCACTGAAATATGCCTTTCATCAATAAAACATTCTTCCATCAGTTAGACACCTGTAACAATTTAAATCTCTTCTATATCCTAAATCTCAGTTAGGCAAAAGATATTACTGCATAGTGACATTCATAGCATGAGCACTGTCACTGAAGTTAAGTACTTCTATTAAAATACCATGCTGAATTGGAGGCTCAGCAATGAATATCCTTAATGATATATAAAAACAATCTTCTCAAATGTAGTTTTGCTTATTCTTTCAATAGACCCGTTTTCACTAAAGTCAAACGCAGAATGAATTGCTCTCTTTTTTTCTCCTGCTTTTGGCCTTTTCACAAACTCATCCTATGCAGCTGCATTGCACACATTACACATTGTACACAAAGAATCTCATTTTAAAAGGCTACCCTAGGTGGGTACTCCTCTGAAAGCTTAACTTTTCTTATTTTTGAAGTATATATTAATGACTATATTCCTCACCTGGTGTGTGTATGTGTGTATATAAAGATATATATATATATATATATTTAACTTCAGTTAAATACACATCTTTTTCCTTTTTTTATTTTCCTTCCAAAATAAAGAAAACTATTTATTTTGTTTACAAATGTCTAATTTTGGTACAAGCCTAAAAGTGGCTTAAATGTTACTATTTGTTTTCATTCTACTCTTTAATTTCTTTTCTTCACATTTGTCTTTCTAATTGACCGTGGTCTAACTACATTAGACATTAACATTTGTCAGAGATTTGGAACTGGGAATTTTATGGGGTTTTCATTCTTTTGTTTTTATGCTGCTTACAGTAATAATTACTAGTACCATAAAGTTTAAGATCAAACTCCAAATCAGATTATTGTTTTCCTTTCGTTAAGTATTTTGGGATTTAATACGTCTAATTTTTTCTTGTGGAATTGACAGATCACAAAAGTAATTTCTCTTGGCTAATATAGTACTTTTTAAAATACCAGACATTAAGTACTGAAGAAAAAGTTAGAAATCACGTGTAAATTCCCAAGGAAACTGTGTAGGGTTTTAGTAATGTTCAAGAGCATGAATTAACAGTAGAATTTGGATAAAATTAGTGGCCATGTTGGCTGCTACATAAATAAAACACACCTTGGCATTACATGGATTTAGGATAACTGTCTCTCTTTGGGAAGCTTTAATATGTATTTATGCCGTCATACAAATCCTGATTTATGCAACAGAATCATTTGCAATCTTCACTGCTATTCCTAGCTAGTGGTAAGATACAGACAGGTTAACAAGAAAAACGGCCCAGAATTAACACAGTGATTAACTTCAGATAAAGATTAACACCACAAACAGCATTCACTGCTTTTACTCATGCTCTCTCTTTTACTTTCAAAGTAAAACAGAAATATTTGTTCTTATAAACTGAACATGGTCCTTGCATTATGTTCCAATTATCAAAGGCCCCTCTGAAACAATACATTATAACTTAGAAATGCTAATTCACTTGCACTGGAGAAGAGTATGCTTAGCTGACTACAGCTAAGAGGCTCAAAAAGGGCAGCAACAACAAATAAAACCAGGACATGATGCCTGATTCCTGACATGATAACAATGGTCATTTTATTATGTTTCTTTACATCAAAGACATTTCTAGTTACGTTAGGACTGACTTGCTGCTTTGTGTGGATTGGACCTACATTACTGGTAAATTTGTTATAGCAGACAAGAATATATAAAAGCACATTTTTGCCTTTCCAGAGCGTAATATTCTATTATTGCAGTATAATACACAGTAGCTAAATGAACCCTTCCTTGGTTATTACCCACCTAATATTGTAAAAATATTACTATGACATTTCATCTGGTCAACCGTCTTAAAAGGTTAATTCTGTTTCATATTTGAGATTTTTCTCTAGGTGAGATATTCTGTGCAGTTTCTTTTTACTGATTCCAAACAACCCCCAAACTGTTTCATTGCTCACTCTCACTGTTAAGAACATATTGACTGGCTGCTTGCTCTGCTGTTTAATTCATTTATGCTGAGAGTCAGGCATGAAGGCAGAATTTTAAATGTGACATTTGCGGGCTGTTGGGTCATTTGAAGCCCTGACAACACCAGGGAGTTCCTGACATACAAACTGGTCCTGATTTCCAATCTTCCATGTTCTGAACACATCAGATATTCCTCCCAGAGGTGCAGATTTCAGCCAAAAGTTTTAAAATCCCTTGTGCTTACATCTTGCAGAAAAGACCTGTACATTTTAAAGTTTTAAAATAGAGCTTGTGTTTCCTTCAAGGTAAAACCAGCATTGCCTGCAGCATGCAACACAACTGCTCATAAATACCAACTGACAAAGGTATTTGGAAAGATCTACAATAATAATTATTAGCAACTTCAACATTTGGATACTTCTTCCTGATGATTCTCACGTGTTCAAAGCCAGCCCAGGATGACATCACAGCTTTATTTAACACTGCTGATCTGGCTTATTACTATCCTGATCAATATCATCTCCCAGTTTCCGGGATGAAAGTTTTTGTTGTCTCAAAAGAGTTGGTGGACTGTACCATTTTTTTTACTCCTATGGGGAACTGTCATAATGTTCCCCAGCTTTCAGGTCTATTTTCATTGTATACCTGATTACTTGAAAGATTCCACACTGCTGAGATACTATTAGGAAAGCAGTAATCCGACCTATTAAGTTAGGGAAATCAAAATTGTCTGTCCCTGAAGCAGGACTAGCATCTACAAAGTTCAAAAATAAAATTGAGAGAAAATTCCAAATGACTGCAACTGAATAGGTCTGTTTGCTTTCTTTCAAACATCACCAAGAAGTCTCAATATTCAGGTTTTACAGTACGTCACAAGTTTTATGGATGTTACTTAGTCATTACTCTTTCCACAAAGTAGGCAGAGCCCACTGTGGCTAACAGCCAGCAATCAGGCTTCAGAAGACATATGAATAAAGGCTGTGCATCTCATCTATCAGAAGGATGGACTGTGTGTCAGACCTTGAACTTTGAGAAAAGAGCAAGAAGGGATTATAGAATCTTCTGCAGAAGAAAGATCTCTTCCTCCTTCTTGCCATAAGTTAACTAAAATTAGACATGCTATAATTAAAAACGTAGCCTGCTTTTCAATTCCAGCCCCAACTCCCTCATTAGAGTATCCGAATCAATGGAAAAGCATTGATTTGAAGTAAGGACACAGTAGGCACAATCTAGGCAAAATCTCAATCTCTGTTTTCTGTTGTGAAAAACAAAAAGCAAACAAAGGCCTTTGCAAAGCAGAAAGGATGATGAAACTGCTGTAGTTGGAAGCAGAAATACTGCAAGCACCTCATTCAGAAGGGGACTTTATTTTCCCCTCTCAACATTTCATAATTCCACAACAGTGATTCTATAATTTGTCTGCTTTTTTGAGAAGTAGGAGTATGATTTGGGAAAATATGCAAATTAGACAAAATTCATGGATTTTTTTCTTTAACATTAGTACATACAACAATTTTAACAGTAACCTCTGAAGTGACAACTGTGTCATACAGCAAGTTATCATTTCATTGCCATGTTCTGAATAAGCCTTTTATAATTTAATGGTTGTCATCTGAACAAGAGTGTGTTGTTTTTACATACTTCTAGCACGAGCTCATTGATTTTGCGTGACCTAGAAAAGCAGTTAGAATATTACAGATGTTGTTTATTCTCAAAGAAATTCCTCAAAATTGAAAGGCTTACCTGGTGTATTATCTGAGCCACAGGAAGTTGATCAGCATATTTAAGTGGTTCTGTTGCCAACACATCCTTTGGCAGCCTGGGAAGAAATGAAGTTAACATTTATCAAAGTCAAAAAAATGTTTGCTAAATGAAATTACTGAAATTTAAGAGTTTCAGGTATAGCCCAGATATCAAACTTCTAGAAGTGATACAGTTTTGCTTAAAACAAAGCAAAAGGATATTCGTACATAGCTGAGTAAAATAATGTTTACTATAAACGAATGTTAATATTGTTGTGGATTTTTTTCCCAACAAAAGCAGATAAATCACCAATTTAGTAGCTGAAATCCACAAAAATCTCTCAGTTTAATATCAAATGAACAAAGCGTTGGTGAAAACTGGATTGAAAATCCCACAGGCAAGAAGCCTTATGAGTTCACAAAGCAGATTTGGGACTGTTAATAGCACAAGATTCTTCACTCTGTCCTGCCAACATAACTCAAATATGACCACCTCAAAAAGCAAGCGAGTTTATTTACTCTTCTCCTTTTCCTGCAAGTGCATATCAGTATCCAGCTGATGGCTTAAACAACACAAACGTTTCTGCATTAGAGAGCCGAGTAACGTATGTTATCGATTTCAAACAAGTCAAAGAACATCAACTTCAGGAGCAGAATACTTCACCAACAAAATGCATCATATATCTCTAAGTTTCAAATAAACCACAGCTACAAATCAAAATGCAGGATCGATATGCATGTTCTCAAAAGAATATTTAAATGAGAGTAAACGAGTACAAAAATATGTTTTAAACCCTTTAATCATAGTGCTTTCTTCAACTGAAACCCACAGCATTTGCTACATTTTTAAAATATCATTCAAGGTTTTATCAGTTCTTTTTTAAAGAGCTCTAAGTGGAGGAATTTCAGCAATATGAGAAGAAATGCAGGAAAAATGATCTCTACAAAACAAAGCCCTTTCTATAAAATTAAATTGGAATTACTTTCAGACAAAAACAATGGCCAAAATGCTCTTTTGCAAGCTCAGGTTACTAACTTATACTCATTTAATTCAAAGCTGTTATGTGGGCTTGCAGGGTTATTTTACCTGCAGACTGGCTGCCAGGCACGAGACAGAAAACTACAGACTGTCTCTGCAATGATAAAAGAGAAAATCATAAATGCACATCTATTGCCTTTTCAACTTCTGAATTTTTGCTGTGGTTTGGAGCGCTTTTAAGTTTCACGTAAGAGGCTGAAGGAAAGAAAATTAAATAAGCAAGCTGTTAGCTACTGAATTTGGTCTACTGAAACAGCTGATTTACTTACAAGGTTTTTACAAGGGACTGCTAATGGCAATGATGAATTTGTACTCACAAACTGCCACTTTCCAAACTTCAGTAGTAACGATTGGAGCTCCAAGGAGGTCAGCACTGAACAAGCTAATTATTTATTTCACTGTTTTCTGTAGAAATACCAGTAAAAACTATCACCAATTCTGAAAAGATTTTTCAGTTTTTTCTTTCCACAGGAGAACTTGCATCCAACTGTTTTCCTCACAAAGTAGCCACATCTTTTTTGAGCTGTTTTAAAATAGTCTCAAGTTCTCTGCTGGTTCAGCTGACTGGTGGTGGCATTAATTCTTTCTAAAAAGCATGTATTTTTTTTCTTTTTTCTTTCCTCCCAATTAAAAAAAATACATAAGAATTACATACGTAATCCAGAAGATACATAGTAAGAAATAAATTCCTTTTTTAGTACAACATGAGACATACCATATCTGATGTGAATTTGAGCCCATTAGTCGATACATTACTCTGATTTATGAATATCAGTCACATAGATGCACTTCTTAGCCACAGTTCTGCATATTAAAACATTGTACACAGAACATAATACTCATTAATATCTTGAATACTTATTTCTGCAGTCTTTAAAAGGACAACACAAAAGTTGGGGGGGAAACTGCATCTCAAATCCCAAAATTGAAGATTCAAAGCTGCGAGTAACAGCTAAGATTACTCTAAACTGAATGTTAGCAGGAAATAAAAAACCTTGTCTGTTCTATCAAGGACTTTGAACGTTTGGCAGTGTTTTCTGTCTAGACAGAGTCAGCATCCTTTGCATAGTCAAACAACCTCCTCATCAACTGCAGAAAAAGACCTCTCTTTAAATGTCAATGGATTAAAAAGAGAAAAATTATCAAGATAATTCTGAGCCTTAGGAAGCTTTACTGAAAAAACAGGGAGAGAGGAAAGAATAGTATAAACATATATATGCGTATTTTAAAGTAAAGTTAGATTTACATTAAAATTAAGCTGACAGGGGAATTTCAACTTCAAGAAAGATTTTTTTTTGTTTTTTTTCTAATCTATTTTCAGGAAAAAAAAAAAAAAACAAGCCAATTGAACTACACTACATTGTATATTTTATAAAATTTTATTTTATAAAATATTTTATAAAATATACAATGTAGTGTAGTATAAAATATACAATGTAGTGTAGTATACTAATTACAAGATTTAGATAGACAAATTATTATATATGTACACACGTATACATATGTACACTAATTACATACACATACAGATGTAATTCAGATGAATTCAGAACTGTTCTCTCCAAAGTTCTGTACTCAGTGATTTACTAGCTGTCAAGACAACAAAAGAGCTTTGATTCTTCTCTCCTGCCTCCTCAACTGGATGAGCATGTATCTCAATCTTTAATATTAAACTGCATACATTAAAGCATAGAAGCTCAAAAAAGTGACAAAAAAGCTGTATGAAATATTGCCAAAGAATGTCCTTTACTTGGAGCAAGTCATTAACTTGAGCTAGCAGGTATGATAAAGCACTGTATCAATAAACTTTGGGCATTTGAGGTTATGGGCTAAGGTGCAAGAATAACTCACAGTAAGTGGCATTTGTAAATTTGACAACAGTAGCATGGTATTCATTATTATGATGTTGCAGTGCTATCATCTAAAGTTACAGCAGGGCATTTTGTCAAGAGAATGAACAGACCACCACCTCCTACCACCAAATGCTCAGCTCACTCTAAGAAAAATCAGCTGTGAAGAAGATATGCAGATCACTGAGCCAACCAAAAACATCAAGCTCTCACTGAACATAAATTATTATTGTTTTTTTGCCTATATTTATAAGCATGTCTTCTAAATATAGAACAAACACAGCTCATTGCCAGTAAGATCAAGCAACACCACATACCTCCCTTCCCCAAAACAGCAGCTGCATCCAAAACTGGCTACTTTAGGCACCCCATATAGCCTGAGCCACGTGCAAACGTTGGGACAGCACTAGTTGTAGTGAGAAAAACTTGCATCAGGGGCTATACTGACAGATAAACACCACAGAACTGCAATACAGTACATACGTCTGTCTAATTTATAAGCACAGAACAGTGTCATACTCCATCAAGAGAATTACGTTAGTTAGCGTGGTCAGCTTTGCAATCAAAGAAAAAAAAAAGCAACAATTAGGACAGTCAGTATAAAGAATTATGGGAAAACCTACTGCAAAACTGTGACTGAATCCTACACGAGCCCCACGGTAGCTGGGTCTCACAGGCTGGATGAATTACCTGTAAAAGACAATCCTCTTCTGAAAGCATAAAGGACGGAAAGGCCATAACTAGAAAGGAGAAAAAGGTCAACACGGAGGACGTTCTATTTTCTCCTGTGTTTTGTAGGGTGGAAGAAGAACAGGTCAGGAAAAAAGATCATATCCATTGCCATGTTTCTGACCTTGCTTTTCTCTTTCAGACGGACACAAGGAAGTTGCTTATTTTGCTTACAGAATTTTCAGGTGCCTGGGATTGCATTCTTTCTTGTTAAAGAACAGTTATGTCAGGAAAAAAATACAGAAAATGACTTTCTCAGTGGATGGAATTTGTGCTCAAATCACGAGGTAATTTGAGGCTGTAAATTCACAAAAACATTTGGCCTCACTTTTTACTTCGTTGATATTTGACACTTAAACCTTTATACAATTATGAGCTAATTTGTTGTAATAAATATTTTCTTGTATGCTTGATGTCTTTCAAAACAATTCTACTACAAAAACAAAAGTCATCTTTCATGAATTAATTTTCCTGTGAGAAATGCTCCTTTCTGTCTCAATTGAGCATGACAGCAGAGTGCTGCCAACAGTGGCAAAGCAAGCTAACACAGCAGCATATCAGCATACACTGCATCACGCCTGACAGCTAGCTGGTAAGCAAAGCATAAGGAGATCTTGATTTTCGTAAAGAAGACTAGAAAGAAACAGAAAATCAGAAGAGATGTGGGAAGCAGTAAGAGACAGCAAAAGAGGAGGATCCCAAAAAATTCAATTTGGAAGTTATTTTTATACCGCCGCTGTGAGTGTTCTCAGATGGAGGAAAGTAAGCATAAAACAGAAACTCTGGAAAGTGAATCTAAATCCAGTAAAATGTGTCAAGATATTTAGTGAAAAATCTTATTTGTTATTTATATTTACATGCTCTTTCTTATGGGAAAATTCCTGAGAGACCCAATGAGTGCTGAAGTACAAACCCTTACAATCAAGAAGTGGTATATTTTGCCACAAGTGCCACAAGACACAGAATAGCTGCAATGGCTTTAGGGCATAGATATATTTTATCTCATGCAAGTATTGTAAAAATACAAGAAAAAAGAGCAGCATGTGATCTACTACCTGGTTTGCTCACGGCAGAAATGTGCTGTTAGGACACTTCAGGAAAGAGAAAAGACTTGATAACTAGGACAACCTGCACCAACACAGCCATAAAGCCTGGCTTACTAGGCAATGTAAACATCCATTAATTACATGAGGTAGTAGGGCTAAGGCCTATACAGTCTCTAGATATACTGGCTTGAAAAGAGCACACTTTCACATATATGACCCATATATGACAGCACAAGTAATATTGCACCTCTTTGAAGCTACTGATTCTGAAAGGTAAGTCCTAACATATAACCACTCCTCTTAGAAACTACACAAGATTAAAGTCAGACTGTTAAGTCAGGGTAAAGAGAAGAGGGAATCAGAGACAAAAATACATTAAGGAAGAAGAGCCTTGCACAGCTCACAAACCACAG